CCGCAGGAGCACAGATGGCCTCACACAGACCGTACCTGTCTCTCCCCCCAGGTGAAATTTGAAATGTCGGACCGGACGACCCTGGCGGATTTCCTCCAGTTGAACCTCCATAACTATGAGGACGAGGTCCGCAACATCGTCGACAAGGCCGTGAAAGAGTCCGGGATGGAGAAGGTAGCGTCCGTCGGCCGCGCGGCTGGGTCCCCACGGGACGGCCCGACCCGGCCCCAGCACAGACGCCGCCCGGAGTGCTCCTGTGGGCCTTCTCGAGAGCTACTGGGCCTCCTCTTACCCACCCGTGCCAGAAATCTTCTTTTTTTTTTCAGACAGAGTCTCACTCTGTTGCCCGGGCTAGAGTGCCGTGGCGTCAGCCTAGCTCACAGCAACCTCAAACTCCTGGGCTCAGGCAATCCTCCTGCCTCAGCCTCCCGAGTAGCTGGGACTATAGGCATGCGCCACCAGGCCTGGCTAATTTTTTCTATATATTTTTAGTTGTACAGCTAATTTCTTTCTAATTTTAGTAGAGACGGGGTCTCGCTCTCGCTCAGGCTGGTTTCGAACTCCTGAGCTCAAACAATCCGCCTGCCTTGGCCTCCCAGAGAGCTAGGATTACAGACATGAGCCACTGTGCCTGGCCTAATTGTAAGTTTTTAAGTTGAGGAAATTCCTCTTATTCCTATTTTTTATAGTGTTCATCACGAATGGGTGTTAGATTTTATCAAAATTTTTTCTATGTCAGCTAATGTGATTGTATGATTTTTCTTATTTAGTCTGCGGATATAGTAGATTACATTGGTTTTTAAATATTGGAATAAACCCCACTTGATCATGGTATATAATTCTTTTTATATATTGCTGGATTCAGTTTGCTAATATTTTGTTGAGAGTTTTTGCATCTATTAATAAGTTCATCAGAGATAGTGGTCTGTAGTTTTCTTGTGATGTCTTTGTCTGGTTTTGGTATCATGGTACTAGACTCATGAGTTGAAAAGTGTTCCCTCCTCTTTTATTTTCTTGAAGAGATTGTGTAAAAATGGTATTAATTCTCTAAATGTTTGATCAACTTTTCAGTGAAACCATCTGGGCCTGGAAATTTTTTTTTTCTGAGTGATGTTTAGCTACAAATTCAATTTCTTTAATGGCTATAGGCTTGTTCCCGTTGTCTGTTTCAATTTTGTGAAAATTTGGTATCGAATTTTGGTAGCTTGTAATTTTTGAGGAATTGGTTCATTTCTTCTAAATTGTTTGATTTAAAAGCATTAAGTTGTTTATAAATATCTTTATTATCCTTTAAATGGCTGAAAGCTTTACAGTGGTATCTTCTATTTCATTCCTGATATTAGTGATTTGTGTCTTCTCTTTATCTTTGCCAGTCACACTAGAGGTTTATAAAACATTAGTTTTTCAAAGAACTAGATTTTTGTTTTTTTGTATTGTTATTTTGAATTTCATTGGTTTCTGATCTTGATACTCTCTTCTATTTACTTTGGGTTTGTTTTGCTCTTTTTATAGTTTATCGAAGTAGGAACTTGGATTATTGATTTGACTTATTTGAGACCTTTCCTCTTTTCTAAAGTAAGCATTTAGTGCTATAAAATTTCCTTTTCCTATTGGTTATGTCCCACATATTTTGATATTACATTCCATTCTATGCGTTCTTTATTTCTTTTGAGGCTTCCTCTTTAACCTATGGATTGTTTTTTTTTTTTTTTTTTTTGAGACAGAGTCTCACTGTGTCACTCGGGCTAGAGTGAGTGCCGTGGCGTCATCCTAGCTCACAGCAACCTCAAACTCTTGGGGTCAAGTGATCCTCCTGCCTCAGCCTCCCGAGTAGCTGGGACTACAGGCATGTGCCACCATGCCCGGCTAATTTTTTCTATATATCTTTAGTTGTCCCATTAATTACTTTCTAATTTTTTTTAGTAGAGACGGGGTCTCACTCTTGCTCAGGCTGGTTTCGAACTCCTGAGCTCAAACAATCCGCCTGCCTCAGCCTCCCAGAGAGCTAGGATTACAGGCGTGAGCCACTGTGCCCGGCCTAACCTATGGATTATTTAGAGGTGTGTTTTTAATTTCTGAATGTTTGAAGATTTTTCCTGTTGCCTTTTTATTATCGATTTCTAGTTTGATTCCGTTATGGTCAGAGCTTCAACTACTTTAAATTTATTGAAGTTTATTTTATGGATCATGATATGGTCTGTCTTGGTGACTGTCCCAATGGGCACTTCAAAAAAAATGCATATTCTGCTTTTGTTGGGTGGAGTATTCTATTAATATATGTTACTTAGACCCTGTTGGTTGTGTCATCTAGTACTTCTATAGCCTTGCTAATTTTCTGTCTAGCAATTCTATAAATTGCTGAGAGTAAGGTGTTAAAGTCCCCATCTATAATTATGAATTTGTTTATTTCTCCTTTCAGTGCAATCAGTTTTTGCTTTGTGTATTTTGAGGCTTTGTTTCATACACATTTGGAATTATTATGTCTTCTCATAGGTTGATAGTTTTTTTCATTATGTAATGTTCCTTTTTGTCTCTAGTAACTTTCTTTGTTCTGAACTTGACTTTAACTGTTAATAATGTAGCTACTTCTGCTTTTTATTGTTTTTGATTAGTGTTTGCCATATCTTTTTCCATTCTTTTACTTTCAACCTACCTATACTGTTGTATTTGAAGTGAGTGTCTTGTAGACAGCATATTTCTGGATCACGGTTTTTTGACCATTCTGCCAATCTCTGCCTTTTAATTGGTGTATTTAGACCATTTACATTTAAGATAATTATTGACATGTTAGGACTTAAGTCTCCCATTTTATTTTTTGTTTTCTGTTTCCTCTGTTTCTTTTTCCTCTGCCTCTCTTTTCCTTTTTCTTTCTTTTCTTTTTTTTGAACACTTTTAGAATCCATCTTGATTTATTTAGAGTGATCCTGACTATATCACTTTATATAGTTTTCTTAGTGGTTGTTTTACAGTCTACTGGTATCAACATTTTGTGACTCTGAGTGCAGTTTGGAAACCTTACTTCCATTTAGACCTCTTTGCCCTCTCCTCTGCCCCTTTTAATATAACCATCTTAAGTATTTCCTCAATATATGAATGATTTTCTGTGGTCTTATTTGTTGTGGTATGTCTAAGATTTTTCAGTTGTAAGAGGGAAAACCTGGAAGTAACAGGGCTGTTCCATCTTGGCAGAACTGGGAGAACTAGCAACTTTCTAAAAAATACGAATAGCCTTTTTGGTTTGGTCCGGTGCTAAGGCAGCCCTGAGGACATGGGAATTTGGGTGAGTTATGGGGGTTGATATTTAGGGAGGAGAAGAGGCAATTCAGGAGCCTGGGAACCCGCCTGGTGAGAGCAGGTCTGGATTGGGTCTCCAGTGTGCTGCTTTGTGGGCTCATGGGCAGCTGGAAGGTAGGGACAGGGCAAGGTGCCACATGTGAAGGGAGGCCGGGCTCTGAGCGTGAGGCCTCTTCCTCCCGAGTATTTCCTCCATGTGTGTGCATGCGTTGGGTTCCGCCACTCTCTCTCCTCTTTGCTCATCTGTTTTCAAAAATATATGAGCTCTTCTCCTCTCTTACTCTTTTGAATGAACTTTGTAATAATTTGCCAAATCCTTCCCTCCGAAAGAAAGCGATTATGACTTTAAACGGGATCGAATCAACTCTGTGAACTCGTCTGGGAGGAATTATTCTCTTGGCAGTATTCAGTGCTCCCATACAGAAGCGTGCTCTGCCTTTTCATTTATTTTATTTTCGTAAATACATCATAGTAAAATATTGTAAATGCCCTTATGCTAATCATACTGTGTCTACCTATTTCTTACATAGGGGAAAAATCTTTGGAGTCACAGGTTCTGTTACAGCCAGGCCTAAAGGGGGGGTACAAATGGAAACCTCTTGATACTTTTTCACAAATAAATGAATTCAAGTCTCTTTTGTATGAGGCCCTTACAGAGTATAACTGGTCCATCAGAGAGAATGGGATACTGTACTTTCCCAGGATAAAAAATCGTTAGCAGGCTCTGGAGAACAAAGGTCACCTTTCCCAGGAGATGATGATAAGCATTTACAGTCAAGATAGTTCCAGAAAAACTCTCCAACACAAACCAGCCAGGAGCTGTATGATAATAGGTTACAGAATGAGCTTAACCTGCCAGAAGGGCCACTGAGTCCCATGTGCATTAAGATTTCTAGTCTTAGTGTCTTCGAGGCAAGCGTCTTGTGAATGCTCTCAGTTTTGTCTTTACCCGATATGTATGCTTGGCAAGCTCGGGCCCTCCTGCCTCAGGTGCCTGTGTCAACGGTCTCTGATCCCGTCAATAACTAGCAGTTTCCAGCTTCACAGCTGATTTCGATCCACCCCAGATTTAAGAATGAAGCCTTCATAACCTTCTGTTTCCACTCTTGGTAGGATTATTCCTGGGTAGCTTGTGTGCTTTGTTTTGTATTTTTGTGAATGAAGTTTCTTGTTTTATATCTTTGTCAGTCGGTATAAGCTAGGCTACTGTGCAGTAACAAACAGCCCTACAAATCTCTGCGTATTGGACCACAAAAGTGTATTTCTTATTCATGGCAAGTCCACACTCTAGTTCCAAGCAGCTGTTCCTTGGGCAGCTGACTACCGAGAGGCCCTCAGTGTTGCTGGCGGTGTGTCAGTAGCGCACTCCCATGGCTGCCGAGGCGGGTAGACGGAATGCTGAGCCGAGCAGGTATGGTCAGGCGTCACTCACGCTTCACTGGCCACGTGACCACACCAAGAACTCAGAGAACAACGGCAAGGCCCCTGCAGAGATTTTTGCTAAAACACCTTTTACTGCTGGGGTTTTTTGGTTTGTTTTGGGTTTTTTTGTTTGTATTCAGCTGCTCTACTGAGCTCTGGTGTTAGTTCTAAATATTCCTCACTGGGTTTTGCTCCCTAAGAGCAAGTGCGGTCAGGTGGCGGAGATGCCTCCCTGAATCCTCCGTGACAAGAGCGGAAGGTGAAACAGGGCGTTCCCATCTCAGGTGAACACCAGCATTGATGACTGGAAGACCACCAAGTGGAAAGACATCAATGTCGAACAGATGGACATAGACTGCAAGAAGTTTGCCAAAGACGTGAGGTCTTTGGACAAGGAGATGAAAACCTGGGATGCTTTCGTGGGGCTGGACAACACGGTGAAAAACATGATCACGTCCCTGCGCGCTGTGAGCGAGCTGCAGAACCCCGCCATTCGGGACCGCCACTGGCAACAGCTCATGCAGGCCACCAAGGTACCACTGCTGGGGGGTGGGGGGCCTGAGCCGCTCAGCCGAGGTGCCCGGGCCTGATGCTGGTAAAGCAAACGTGGGCAGGGCCAGCTCTGTGCGTGAGTGACCCGTCTAGTCACACAGGGCTCCATGCTGAGAGGGCCTATGCTGGGTTTAATGCTCTGCTGTCCCCATCTTGAAGTTTGTGGAATTTTTGGACAGGGGGCCGTGCATTTTCATTGTGCACCAAGCCCTGCAAATTGTGTGGACAGTCCTGGCTGTAGGTTGCACGTCTCTAAGGCTTGGGAAGTTTGCGGCAGATGAAACCCAGGAACTCAGAGTCTTAGCATTTTTCTAAAAATATCCCCTAATGATAGGTACTGGCCTTGACCCCTACGGAAGGCCAGCGGGACACTCCCCACTGTCAGCAGACACTGAACAAAGCTATTAAGGCCAGGCGCCGTGGCTCATGCCTGTAATCTCAGCACTTTGGGAGACTGGGGAGGGAGGAGCACTTAAAGCCAGGAGTTGGAGACCAGGCTGGGCAACATAGTGAGACGCCCGTCTGTACAAAATACATTTTTAAAAAATTAGCCAGGCGTGGTGGCCCACACCTGTGATCCCAGCTACTCAGAAGGCTGAGGCAGGAGGATTGCTTGAGCCCAGGAGTTGGAGGCTGCAGAGAGCTGTGATCATACCACTGCACTCCACCCTGGGTGACAGAGCGAGACACCATCTCTTTAAAAAAAAAAATTTTTTTTTAAAAGCCTATACCGAGCAGCTACCCAGCAGAGGCCCTGCAGTGAGGCCCCTGCTCTCGGGAGGCCTTGTTTTCTCAGAAAGTAATAATAGCACATGCTATTGTAAGGGAGGAAAAAAGTTATTTTTTCCTCTACCCATCTTAGGTTCTCTGGCTGGGGCCCTGTCAATCCGACTGACAAAGACAGGTTAACGAGAGAAAACAAGCCAAGTTTGCTAACACGTGCCTTGTGTGCACCCCACGGGAGCTCCAAGATGGGTCACTCAGTGGGGGACTTAGAACCTGGGCTTATGTAGCATCTTAACCACGACTTTTTGGGGAAGTGACAAGACGAAGGAAAAGGACTTTGAGCTTCTAGGGGCGGGAAACCGCGAGGAGGTTAATATACGGGGAAGTGAGGGTAGAACAGTCTGCCGCTGTGTGTGGGGGTCCCCTGCTGCCCCCTCTGGGCTGAGGAGGGTCTCAAGCCTCCAGGGCAGGATTCTTCCTGCCTCTTCCCGTTTCTGGGGGCCCCTGCCTCTGTCTTCACACGGCCGTCGCCCTGTGTGTCTCAGATCTTCCCCACCTTTGGTCTGAGAACACCTGTCACCGGATTGACGGCCCACCTGGGAAATCGAGGGTGCTTCGTCTCAGGACCCTTAACACCTGCGAAGACCCTGTTTCCAAATAAGCTCGCACCCTGAGGTACTGGGTGGACATGAATCTTGGAGGGCGCTGTCCCCCCACTGTAGGGGGGTTCTGCTGTTACACGGTGTCACAGGGAAGGAAGGCGAGGCCTGGGGGAGTCACTCGCCGAGTCCCAGAGCTGGAAACGGCAGAGCGAAGCTCCCCGCCTGCTCCCTCCGGCAGCCCGTGGCGCCCTCCTGCCCCGCCTCTCCGCGAAGGACGGTGACGTCCGGCCGCAGGAGCACAGATGGCCTCACACAGACCGTACCTGTCTCTCCCCCCAGGTGAAATTTGAAATGTCGGACCGGACGACCCTGGCGGATTTCCTCCAGTTGAACCTCCATAACTATGAGGACGAGGTCCGCAACATCGTCGACAAGGCCGTGAAAGAGTCCGGGATGGAGAAGGTAGCGTCCGTCGGCCGCGCGGCTGGGTCCCCACGGGACGGCCCGACCCGGCCCCAGCACAGACGCCGCCCGGAGTGCTCCTGTGGGCCTTCTCGAGAGCTACTGGGCCTCCTCTTACCCACCCGTGCCAGAAATCTTCTTTTTTTTTTCAGACAGAGTCTCACTCTGTTGCCCGGGCTAGAGTGCCGTGGCGTCAGCCTAGCTCACAGCAACCTCAAACTCCTGGGCTCAGGCAATCCTCCTGCCTCAGCCTCCCGAGTAGCTGGGACTATAGGCATGCGCCACCAGGCCTGGCTAATTTTTTCTATATATTTTTAGTTGTACAGCTAATTTCTTTCTATTTTTAGTAGAAACGGGGTCTCGCTCTTGCTCAGGCTGGTCTCGAACTCCTGAGCTCAAACAATCCACCTGCCTCGGCCTCCCAGAGTGCTAGGATTACAGGCGTGAGCCACCGCGCCCGGCCCAGAAATCTTATGAAATACTTCTAGAACTTATTATGTAAAAGAAAAAGCCCAATCCTGGCTGTAGCTCTGTCTCCCGCATGTGAGAGTAGGTACATTGTAAAATGGCCTGGACTCGGCCCCTGGCTAGAGCATCGTCATTGTCCCTCCTGTCCTTGCCTCTGCTGGGCAGAGTGATGGCAGAGGGGCGGCTGGCCCCACGCCAGCGCCAGAGGTTGTTAATGAGCCTCTGGAAAAGTCTGGAAGACTCTTTGCAATTCAAATCTCTCTCCTCACCCTACCTGCTTTGTGAGTGTGAATTGTCACATTTTGGCTTTCTTTTTTTTTAACAGCTTTATTGAGATATAACTCACACACCACACCATTCACGCAAAGGGTACAATTTAGTGGCTTTTAGCATATTCACAAATGTGTGCGATCGTCACCTACTAGAATTAACCAGTTTTAGAACATTTTCATCACCTCGAAAGGAAGCCCTGTGGCTGTCACCCCCCACGCGTCACAGCCTCTCCCTGCACTCTGGTGCTCTCTCTCCGATTCCCCGTTCCGGACCTCCCTAGGAATGGCATCCGAGGCAGGGGAGGCGAAATTTCACCTCGACCCTTTTAGGGTATTTTTCAGCTGGGCTTGAGAATTGAATTGACATGAGGCAGATCCAGAGGAGAAAAGCACGCAAGTTACTTAATACACATCTGCGCGGTGCGGGAGCCTCATGAGGAAATGAGGACCCAAAAACATGGTTGAGTTGGACGCTTAGTCCTGACGTGCGGGAAGGGTAGTGAGTTGCGGGCGGTAATGAGTGGTGCAGAAGGCAGGAGTTGTTCTAACAAGGTCTGTGCGTGCAGACTTCTTTCGGCCTTAGCTTCCCGTGCTCGATAAGGAGGACACTTCCCTCTGGTGTTGGGAGGGACCTTTCACATGGGAATTTCCCTCCTGCTTGAGAAGCGGAAGGAAGGTCACAGCAATCTTCGTGCACCTGTTGTGCTTCAAGTGCCTTTAACAAAGCAGTGTGCCGGGGTGGCACGTTCTTCGCTCCTTCACACACGGTATGTGGCCTCTTGTGTGTGGCTTCTCCACCCAGCCATCTGCACTGTGGCACCCGGACCTCATTCCTTTTTATGGCTTAGTGACACTCCCTTGTGTGGGCAGGACACGTGTTGATCCACGTGCCAGCGGACGGACACGCGACTTGCTCTCAGCAGCCACGGGTAGTGCTGGCACAAGCATTCTGGCTTGCTCAAAGCGGCTTCATGCCACAGTGTAGCAATTCTCGGTCCCTCCTTAGTTTCACACCCAGACGCCCAGTGACCGTATTCCCGCGTTCCCCCGAAAGGTACTGAAAGCCTTGGACAGCACCTGGACCACGATGGAGTTCGAGCACGAGCCGCATCCGCGGACGGGCACCATGATGCTCAAGTCGGACGAGGTCCTGGTGGAGACGCTGGAGGACAACCAGGTGCAGCTGCAGAACCTGATGATGTCCAAGTACCTGTCCCACTTCCTGAAGGAGGTGACCAGCTGGCAGCAGAAGCTGTCCACGGCAGACTCGGTCATCTCCATCTGGTTCGAGGTCCAGAGGACCTGGAGCCACCTGGAGAGCATCTTCATCGGGTCTGAGGACATCCGAGCCCAGCTCCCAGAGGACTCCAGGCGCTTTGACGCCATCGACCTGGAGTTCAAGGTGAGCGCAGGTTCCTGGGCACTTGTGGGAATGCCTGTGGGCCATGACGGGGCTCCTGACCCCTCGGCGATTCCCTCCCTTCCTAGGCCTTGATGCAAGACGCGGTAAAAACACCCAACGTGGTGGAAGCCACCAACAAGCCGGGTCTCTATGACAAACTGGAGGCCCTGAAGAAAAGGTGGGCCCCACCCCTGTCCAGACAGGGGCAGCCAGTGGCAGGGGGAGCTGATGGCAGTGAGAGTCGGAGTCCTGTTCGGCCTGCTAGTTAGGACAGGGCAGAACCACGGGTCAGGGGCTACCACGTCCCCTCTCCCCAGGCCACATGCCGCCATGCTGGCCTTGCGGTGGAAGAAGCAGTGACCATGGGGGTTGAGTGACACTCCCTCCTGCCCAGGAATGTCCACAGGGTCAGGGGCTGGCAAAGGAATGAGAGCAGTGGGTAGGAAGTTCCGGATTGAACCAGGCCGGTGAACAAGAGACCAGGTGTCTCTAGGCCCATGAGTCCCACGTACCGACAGGCTGGGCTGGAGGGGCCCGTAGAGCAGCGCTGACCAGCAGCTTCCCTCCCCCTCCAGCCTGGCCATGTGCGAGAAGGCCCTGGCGGAATACCTAGAGACGAAGAGGCTGGCCTTCCCCAGGTTCTACTTCGTCTCCTCGGCCGACCTGCTGGACATCCTTTCCAACGGCAACGACCCTGTGGAGGTAGGCGGGCCTGGCACGCGGGGCTGAGCCAACGTCGTGCCCTGGACCCAGGCCCAGGCCGGCCGGGCCCCTTCGCTGGGCAGCCCTGGGAGGGAGGAGGAGCGTCCCTGGATGTCCCGTGTGCGAGGTCCTCCACACCAGGGACTGCCCGGGGTGCCCGCCAAGGCAGAAGAGGGCTCATCTCACACCCCGCTCTGCCCTTGGTGTATTTGGGCAAATGAGTCTACTCTTTTCCTCATTTTGCTGTCCTGGAGAAACGGGGCCGGTGCCAGGCCCTGGCGAGATGCTGTCTCTGAAAGATGCACCCACTCACTGGACCCCTCAGACCGTCACGGGTCCAGGAGCCAGCAAGAAATGTTTCTTTGAGGCTTTTCCGAAAGAGGAAAGAGTTAACGAACTAGGCGAAGGGGAAGCGATTATATTTTATTTTAACCTGAAGTTATGGGATCCACGAGACGAAGGAATACGCACGCAAGGACAACCTGCAGTTGAGGGTCTGAGTGTGTGGCTTGGCGCCTGGGCCCAAACCTCCTCAAGGAAGAGAAACCCTGAAGGACAGACCTCTGCCCCGAAAGAGCTGGGATTCCTGGCCTGGTTTCTGTGTCCGGCCTGAGAGCGGTTCTCGCTGGTTCTTTTTGTTGGAGAAGCCAGTTTACTCAACACTGATCAGAGATGGGGAGTATGTAAACGACAGACAGACAGATGCCTAAAGCCACCCAAGGACAGCCCAAGCCACGCCCGTCCCTTTCAGATCCCTCGGTTGCGTCATTCCGGTTTCTCCCCGCCACCCAGGTGAGCCGCCACCTGTCCAAGCTCTTCGACAGCCTGTGTAAACTGAAGTTCCGGCTCGATGCCAACGAGAAACCGCTCAAGTTTGGCCTGGGCATGTACAGCAAGGAGGACGAGTATGTGGAGTTTGATCAAGAATGTGACCTCTCGGGGCAGGTGAGTGTGTGCGCGCCGACAGCGGGCCCAGCACGATGGCGCAGCGTGCAGCTCCAGGAAGGGCCACGTGTCCTCACACAGAGATGTCCGTGGAGACTGTTCCTGTCCTCTGCCTTTCTAGAAAACACTTAAGGGGCCGGGAGTGGTGGCTCACACCTGTCCTTCCAGCACTTTGGGAGGCCAAGGCAGGAGGATCACTTGAGGCCAGGAGTTTGAGACCAGCCTGGGCAATATAGCGAGACCCCTGTCTATAAAATAAATTTTTTAAAAATTAGCTGGGTCCCAGCTACCTGGGAGGCTGAGGCAGGAGGATCACCTGAGCCCAGGAGTTTGAGGCTGCTGTGACTATGATCACACCACTGCACTCCCTATCAGACCCTGTCTCTAAAAGTAAAAAATGAAACACTTAAGGGACTGACTTCTTTATGGAGTTTCTAGCAGAGCCTTACCCATGTAGCAAGATGGGTATTTTGAGGGAAAGGGGGAGGAAGGAAGGGAAGGGCTTGTTAATGCCACTGGATTTTTTTTTTTTTTATGGCTTGCCAAGGGGATTGCTTTGAAGGTTGCCACATGTATCTGAGCCACCAATTTCTAACACTGTCCAAAACACCTGTCCAAACTACCTGGCCAAGTCGCTCTGGTCTTGGGCAGCCTCTTCCCTTTTCCAGGGGGCTTGCCACCCAGCTCGGGGCTGGCTCCTTCTGCCGACAAGTTGTCCTTTCCCCTATCTCGTTCCCTAAGTATTCATCACACAACGGAAAGGATTTTGACATTAGCCTAAGGAAGATGTAATTTGGAGGTATATCAGTTGTGGAAAAAAAAAAAAATCTCACACAAGAAAACCCGACGTGGTCTGCTTTCCACGGGTGGGGCTGGGCAGGCTGTGGCAGGAGCCGTCAGACACAACTGCCACGACGGCAGGGCTGCCTGCACCGCGTTCACAGGTGAAAAAACGGACACCAGGATCCATCGAGGATGGTTTTTTCCCTCCCAGTAGCGGTTAGTTGAGGGATTATATTCTAAAATGTAAATAAGACTTGTTGGCAAGACTTAGTGGCGGCAGTGTCCGGATGGCAGCTCACTGTCCCGCAGTCACTCGCTGAGCAAGTGGGGACGCCACTGGGCAGAGCCCCCAGATGTCCCATCTCAGAGCATCGGCAACGGCTCAGGGGGGCAGGCTCGGCTCGCTCTTCTTCTAGATTTTTCTCTGGGTCCCGTCCCTCCTGTGCCTGGATGCTTAATGCAGCAGGTTGTGCCAGCGTTCACAGCTGAGCGTCCCAGCCACGTATGTTAAGTGGGTCATTTTTACTGCTCCATAAAAACCGTGACATTTCTACCCCGGGACGATGATGATGACAGAGAGGAGACTTTTTTCTTATGGCAAGGCAAGTCATCAGGACTAGAGGCACTCACGTGGCACCGTCCCCAGGTGGAAGTCTGGCTGAATCGCGTGCTGGACAGAATGGTTGCCACCCTCCGACACGAAATTCCAGAGGCCGTGGTGACGTACGAGGAGAAGGCGCGGGAGCAGTGGGTCTTTGACTACCCAGCCCAGGTCTGGGGGGGGGCATGGTGGGAGGGGGCAGCTCTGAGGCGAGGGGGTGTGATGTGTTCATGTGGCCCCTCTGTTAACCACACGCCACTGGAAAACAATTGGAGTTACTGGCACGAGCTTTTTTACTAGCGGCAATTGGTCACTCGCTGCACGGGCGTGGGGGGCCCTGTCTGTTTCCAGGTTGCCCTCACGTGCACCCAGATCTGGTGGACCACCGAGGTGGGCCTGGCATTTTCGAGGCTGGAGGAAGGCTATGAGAACGCTATCAAAGATTACAACAAAAAGCAGGTGCGTGATCCTACGCGTCCGTCTCAAACTCTGCCAAGCGATGACCAGAAGCATCTTCCTCTTCAAGACTGAACCTTGTGAAATCGCCATTCCCGCAGCTGAAAAGCTGTCAAGCGTCCTTGTCCCCAGCGGTAACATCTTCGGAAACATGTAACTTTAATTTCTTGTCTGGAAATCATCAAATGCTACTGCAAGTCTTTTTTCTTAAAGATTCTTGGTTAGAAATATGAAAACTAAAGATAATTTTTAAAATAAAAGAAGGAAAAGTTACCCATAATCCTGCCACCCAGATGTAACACTGTCAACACGTTCTTATGCATCCTTCTGGTCTTTTGTGTGTGAAAATAGACAAACTGTCTGGACACTTTAAAATCAGCTGTTTTTACTTAATATCCACCCTCTCCCCCTGGCGTTAACTTTCCTTCTACTACGTGGCTTTTAGCGGCGCCGTGGTATTCCGTCATGCGCCGTCCCGCAGCTTAACATACCCCATGACTGGAGACACGCAGAATGTTCTCCTGTTCTTCATTATTGTAAACAGGAGCGTGGGGGACTTTCCCACATGACCATGAGCTCCCCGAGGACCCACACGGCCTGGGTGCCCTGGGGGGGGACCACCTGGCATTTGGTGGGCTCCCTGCAGTGTCAGCGACGGCACCTCTCCTCCCGCAGATCAGCCAGCTGAACGCGCTCATCACGCTGCTCATCGGGAACCTCAACGCTGGCGACAGGATGAAGATCATGACCATCTGCACCATCGACGTGCACGCACGCGACGTGGTGGCCAAAATGATCATTGCCAAGGCACGAGCGCCTGCCGTCCTCAGGGAGTGGCTGGGGAAGGCCCAGGGGACTGGGCGGGGGCCGTGCTTTTGGGGGCTCCAGCCCTGCCATTGCCACTTCCCGGGGCAGTGACTCTATGCTGGCGGCAGCCACCCGGCTCAGCCCCTAATCCCTGGCCTAGACTTACCCCTAGTAAGTGCCCCTCAGCTGTCGTGAGCAGCACCCACTCGCTGGAAGTGCTCGTTCTTTAGCAAGATTCACTGGAGGCAGCGATAAGGTTGGAAGTGGGCGCTGGAAGAGAAAAGAGGGCCAGGGAGGGTGGCCCTGAGGGTCCGGGGACCAGCCCGGAGGCAGGCTGGCCGGCCTGGGTCGGATCCGCCTCTTGCCTTCCACTGGGCCGACAGCAAGATCCCTGCCTCCTGCAGGTGGAGAGTTCTCAGGCCTTCACCTGGCAGTCCCAGCTCCGGCACCGCTGGGACGACGAGAAGCGACACTGCTTTGCCAACATCTGCGACGCCCAAATCCAGTATTCCTACGAGTATCTGGGCAACACGCCGCGGCTGGTCATCACCCCGCTCACCGACAGGTGAGGACGCGCCTGCGCGCCCGTGATGCCCGTCCCTAAATGAGTCATATGTTCCCTTTGGTCCCTTCTCCACGATTCGTTGTCGGGCTGGGACATCAGCTGCTGAGGCTGAAAGAGCCAGCACTGGCTCGGGTGGACCCATGTTCGGAGTCAGTCCTGCCACCTGCAGGGTGCCAGGCCTCCAGCTCCCTATCCTCGTTCTGATATGAGCTGTGTGGCCTTGGGGGAGCTCCTCAACCTCTCTGTGGGCCTGCAATGTGGGGATGATGATCTATGAATCCCCGTGAGCTTGTTGCGGGTTGATTAAATTGTTCAACACCCAAAAGCGCTAAGGCCAGAGCTGCTCTGAGCAAACCCTCGATGGATGTGGGGGGCGTCGTTCCGACCGTTCTCGGTTTAGTAGCGCTCCCTGCCCGAGTGCCACAGCGGGCAGGGTGCCTGTGCTGCCTCTGCCCCGGGCAGTGTCTGTCCCTCAGTCCCATCTGAAGTCCTTCCTGCCCGCTCCCTGCTGTACCTCCTGGGGCCGAGCAGGTGCAATGACGCAACGAGCGGGAGCCGCAGAGAAAGGGCGATGGGGCGGCTGTGGGGTCCCCAGCACACGGGCTAAGCAGAGGTCCCGGCAGGTGCTACATCACCCTGACACAGTCCCTCCATCTGATCATGGGCGGGGCCCCCGCTGGCCCCGCCGGGACCGGGAAGACGGAGACGACCAAGGACCTGGGCAGGGCACTGGGCACCATGGTGTACGTCTTCAACTGCTCTGAGCAAATGGACTACAAGGTAGGCAGCTGAGGCCCAGAGGGGGGACCCAAGGTCCCCACGGGAGAACATGTCCGAGCGCCCTGTCCCAGGAGGCCTCTCAGCGAGCTCTCAATCCCTGGACGCCCATGAATGGCACCGTGGGGAGGTGGCACTGGGCCCCCCGATAGCTGACGACATCTCCCTTGGGTGGCCTGTCTGAAGAGATTCCTGGGGTGACAAATTCAGCCCTGAAGGTCCTGTCCTGCCCCTGCCGGAGGTACCCCTTGCTCACCCTCGGTTCCAAGCTCACTCCAGACAGAGGGGAGGCCTCCTTCACGGTCGTGCACGGGATGTGGCAATAGCTATGTGCAGGTGGGAGGGGAGGAGGGGACTGGCCAGGTCCTGTTGGTCATCGGAGACTCTTCTCCAAGGGCCAAGCAGGGGAGGGGATGTCTTGATGGTCCCGGCCGCTGCAGCTTCTTGCTCGAGGGGAGGGTGGGGACAGTCCCCGAGTTGAGGACCCTTGGCCTGCAGAGGCCTTCTCTCCCTCACCTGGATCTGAGCCCCACGATCCGGGGACCCCGCCCTGAGGCTGCAAGGCCACACGGTCCACTCCAGCCTCCTGGACTTCAGAGGAGGGAAATCCAAGGTCGGATCCTCCCGAAGGGGTGTAGCAACCGCCTGGAACCCTGGCTGGAAACTGGGAGAATCACCCCGACTGCCTGGCTGGGCCCCCGCCCCCACTTTGAGGGGCTCCCCCACTTCGTGTGCATAAAAGAAAAGGGCTAAGAAACAACGCGAGGGTTGGATTTTGCGAGAGTGCGCTCGTCCGAGCCCTCTGGTTAGGGGTCCTGGCGGAGCCTCCGACCCCGGGCCTTGAGCTGTGGGGTCCGGGCGCAAGGACGGCTCTTCCTGGCACCTGCCGTCTGTGGGGTCAGCCGCGCTGGGAAGTAGGCGGTCCCGCCTGCTGGCCTTGGGAAGGCCCAGATGTCCCCAGCTAGGCTGAGCTGAGGGCAGTGAACGCAGCTGAAGGGGCAGGTGGACACCCTGTGGCCCCCCCTGCCCTCCCAGCTCTTCCTTTCCCCGACGCCGTCCCCGCTCTCGCCCCATCTAGTCCTGTGGAAACATCTACAAGGGCCTGGCGCAGACCGGAGCCTGGGGCTGCTTTGATGAGTTTAACCGGATCTCGGTGGAGGTCTTGTCCGTGATCGCCGTGCAGGTAGGACCCTGGCCGCGTCCCGAGCTCACAGAGGGCGACTGGCCGCCTTCCCGTTACCTCACAGCCTTCCCACGCGAGGACAGACCCTCCCTGCCCGCCCGCGACACTCGGGGCGCTGGGCGCTGGTGTGGCACAAAGATGAGTGGGACCCCCAGCCTGTCCCCCAGGGCCGTAGGCTGGGTAGGCACCGTTCGGGTGGAAGACAGTGAGAACACGGTATGGTAGCATGTATGTGACCACGAGCACGTGAGGGCAGGATCGATTCCGCTTGGCGGGAACGTGCCCGCGCACTTTGGGAACACTCGTGCTGGAGCTCGGCGCAGTGGGGAGACGGGGCAAGGCAGGGGCAGGGTTCGCGGGTTGGGGAGCACCCCCACAATTACATGTTAAAGTCACCCATGTGACCGGATGAGCGTGTCTGCATTGAAACACATGCCTGCCGGGGGCAAGCACCGCTGGGCTGTCTAGGGTGAGCTGAGGCCGACCTGGAGGCCTGATGAGCCGCGACAGTCCAGGAGGAGACGGAGTCAGGATGTGGGTGGCAGGTGGTGCTGAGACACCCCCAAAAAAACTACAGAGCTCAGGAGAGGGGCGTGGAGACCCCAGCCTGGGCGCGAGGCCCCGTTTACGTTTACTGATTTAACTCCCTAACCCCGTTTGGCCATGGTTTAAATTCCCCGCGCCTCCGTGTTCTGATCCGTGAGGTAGGACTGGTGACACGGGTTTGCGGCGGGGCTAGAGGTGGCTGCAGGTGGCTGCTCCCCCCTCGGTTGTTACCGCTCGGGCCAGAAGCATGCCTGGGGCTGGAGGCCAGTGCCTGGGCCCCGGCCCCTGCCCCAGTGCGTTGGCAGAGTTGCCCACCCCCAAAGCCAGTGAGCAAACCCGAGTGTGTGTGCGGAGCCCGTTTCGGGCACTGAATGTGGACTCGGAGCGAGAGGGTAGGGGAGGCCTGGCACAGAGGGCGTCCGGCGCACTCTGCAGACCAGTCGCGGAGGGACGTGGGACACCCGGGCAGCGGAACTTCGGGCTCCCCGGGAGACTCGGAAGTCAGGCGGTAGGAGACGGCTCACCGCAAGTGTCGGGCGCCCCCAAGTGGGGTCTTGGAGATCCGCAGCTGCCCTGGCAGGTGTCCGCAAGGGGCCAAATGCAGACGAGGACCCCTGAGGTCCTAGATTTAACCTTGAAACCGGCAGATGGCCTTAAAGACCATCAGGCAGTCTGGTGTGGAGACAGCTGCTAAGCAGTCCTCTGACAGACGGGTCGTTGCCAGGGTAGCAAGAGGACACAGGAAGGCTGGGAGCTGGGGCGCACTCAGCAAAACCGCGGAGGGAACTGCTGGTTCTGGCAACAGCTGAAACCCCTGCAAAGAGCTACGCTGAGTGACAAAAGTCTATCTCGGGAGGCTCCACTTAGGTGGCATTCGTGCGATGACAGGGCCACCGAAACAGAGAACAGAGGCTCATCACTAGAGGGGCCTGGGGTGGGGGTGAGAGGGCAGCGGGTGTCAGGACCCCGCGGTGGCAGCGCACTATAGCCGTGCGAGATGTCCCCACTGGGTGCGAGGTGCCTCCACATGTCTCTTACAACTGCATGTGAGTCTACAACGGCCCCCAGATTAAAAAGCTCAGTTAAAAAAAGAATCTAGGAAGATGCTGCGAATTCGCAGTCACGCACTTCAACACGGAGACCCGTCTGGCTCGACGAAGCCTGTCGCTTCCATGTTGACGTGTCTGTGTACCAACTGCTCAGGTCAAATGTGTCCAAGATGCAATTCGGGCCAAGAAAAAAACATTTAATTTCCTCGGAGAGATGATACGTCTCATCCCCACCGTGGGCATCTTCATTACCATGAACCCCGGGTACGCTGGGCGCACGGAACTGCCCGAAAACTTAAAGGCCCTGTTCAGGTGAGTGGCCCAGGTGGGAGGTGCGTGGCCGCGGCGACTCGGGCCGGCCATGGCAGCATCGCTGTGCCAGGCAATGAGCAGAGGGCGTCAGGGGAGGGAGGAGCCGTGGACGACAAGGCTCTCGGGACAGGCGTCAGCAGGCAGGAGAGGGTACCCCAAACCTCTCTGCCTTCCCCACGGCGGGGTCCCCACTTGAGACACACCTGCCATCAGACAGGCCAACGGCAGGCAGGCTTCAGGTTGACGCTCAGAGGGGTCACCCTGCGGGGCTGGAGGCACCCAAGGGAAGGGAAGGGGTGGGGTGGGAACCCGGCTCCAGGCCCCAGGAGGTGGCCCATGTGCTCTGGTCTACCTGGCAGGCGAGGCGTGTGCTCCCAGGTGAAGAGGGACAGGTGGGCCTGGGTGGAGGAGGGGGAGAGGGAAGCTCACCGTACTGGCCCCCCCAGGCCGTGCGCCATGGTCGTTCCCGACTTTGAACTGATATGCGAGATCATGCTGGTGGCCGAGGGCTTTCTGGAAGCCCGCCTTCTGGCCAGGAAGTTCATCACCCTCTACACCTTGTGCAAGGAGCTGCTCTCCAAGCAGGTGTGTGTTCATGGTGCCCTGGGGCTCACAGAGTGTTGGGGGGGGGTGCAAGGGGGTGTTAAAAATGCAGGTAGCGGCCAGGGTTGCCTCCCATCCCCTCCCGGACCCCAGAGCCACTCTGGGCCTGGCAGTGCCAGCCAGCCAGCGTGGGAAGGGGCGCTCACCTCTGCCCGCCCGTCCCCACCGCCCGCAGGATCACTACGACTGGGGCTTGCGAGCCATCAAGTCTGTGCTGGTGGTGGCCGGCTCCCTGAAGAGGGGGGACCCCAGCCGGGCAGAGGACCAGGTGCTCATGAGGGCTCTGAGAGACTTCAACATCCCCAAGATCGTGACCGACGACCTGCCCGTGTTCATGGGCCTGATTGGGGACCTCTTCCCGGCTCTGGACGTGCCTCGCAAACGAGACCTGAACTTCGAGAAGGTAGGTAGTTACCCAGGCCTCGGTCGGGCCTGGGAAGCCTCGCCTGGGGCTTCTGTCCCGCCCAGGACGCTGGCCTGGTCCCACACAGCAAATGCAACCGCGGGGCAGGCGGCCCCCATCACACATGCTACGAGAAAGACCCTGGGGCCACAGCTGCCTTCCTGGGCCTGGCTGGGGGTCACTCTGAGCTGGGGCTGGGAGGCTTGGAGCAAACCTGTCGCCTCTTGAGGCCACAGTGGGGCAGTCTGAGCTTCTAGTAGCACCAATAGCAGAACTTATACACACATCGCCTTGGAGGGCAACTGTTCCCGTCCCACCTCTGCCACTGGGCAGGAGGCCCCCACCAAAAAGAAAGGCTTTTTTGACTTTGCGCCCGTCCTTGCCTGCGTCCCCCCAGGTCATCAAGCAAAGCATCGTGGAGCTGAAGCTGCAGGCAGAGGACAGCTTCGTGCTCAAAGTCGTGCAGCTGGAGGAGCTGCTGCAGGTGCGGCACTCGGTGTTTGTCATCGGGAACGCGGGCAGCGGCAAGTCTCAGGTACGTCTCCCCGAAGCACCCTGCAGGCATCCAGCCAGGTGGGGGAGGGCTGGGGTGAAGGGTCAGCCCCGTATCACCTCCCCCCACCCCAGGGAATCCCCCTGGACCCAAACGTGTCATGGTCCAGGAAGGACCCTGGGGCTGAGGGGGAGGGGAGGAGCAGCCCCAGCCCCCAGCCCACCTGTGGGGCTTCCTCCCCGTTTTGCTTCTCCCGTCTTCCAGTCCCCGCCTCCCTGTGGCCGGTCCCACCCCCACCTCCTGTCCCTTGCCGTGGCCTGGGGCATGGTGAGATGTGGAGGGTGGCTGCCGATGTTATTGAAGTCTGTGACACTAGAAAATTCCATACCAGCCGGCGTGCACTGGCCGCCCACGGGACGGACTCTTGTGCTCTTGGTGAAGATCGTTCCCAGAGTAATAACATGGGGAAGCTCACAGCAAGTTATTTTCTCAAAGGCAGAAACCATATGAACCCAATTTCCTAAAAAGGAACATACACACGCATACAAACGGAATAGCCTTAAGTGTCCTTAAAACTCATTTTCTCTGGGAGAAAGAATTAGGGTGGCTTTCTTCCCTTAGACGCTCTCCCGATGAGCTTGTGTTACTTGTGCTGGGAGGAAGACGCTAAGGTGAGTTTTTTCAGAGCTCAGCGTGGTCTCGCGCAGCCCCTGTGGCCTGCGGACGTGAACGCTTAGCTCCCATCACCGGCCACCCTCGCCTCGTGGTTGCTGGGGGGACACACACTCACCTGCCCGCCACCAAAGCAAACGAGATCGGAGAAGGATCTGCTCGTGGTTGTAAAGGGATCTGGGCTCACATAAAGGGCCGTGTACCCATGCAGGCCCACGTGCCGGGGACATCAGGGCACAGGCGAGTGGCCTCCTGCTTCCACCCAGGTCCTCAAATCCCTCAACAAGACCTACCAGAACATGAAGAGGAAGCCGGTCGCCGTGGACCTGGACCCCAAGGCTGTCACCTGCGATGAGCTCTTTGGCGTCATTAACCCGGCCACCAGGGAGTGGAAAGACGGTATCAGCAGGGGTCTGGGACGTGGCAGGCAGGCTCTGCAGTGAGCAGCTCCCTTGGGACCCTCGTGGGCTCCCAGCTGGGGCTTGTGCTGCGGTGACGGTGCCGTGGGGGCCGTGGGCCACCAGAGCTGGGACCTTTGAGAATCGCAGGCTGCCCTGCCCAAGCAAGCGCAGGCACAACGCTGCTAGAGGGGCGCAGGGTGAGGCTGGACAGGCTGGGCTCTGGGGGGGAGTTCCTCCCGGGAAGTGGCTCGAGGAGTTTTCGCTTCGTAAAGAGAACTCTGACATCCAAGAGCGGGCTGGGGTGGGGGACTGAGGTGTGGCCAGTGGGAGGAGGGGCCCTGCCTGGTGCAGGACTCTTACCTCTGCGTGTGTATCTTGTTTCTCCCCCACGAGAACATGAGCTCTGTGGGGTGCAGGGACTGCGATTCTCCTGGGGCCTATTCCCCAAGTCCCTCACACCTGACACATGGCGCGTGCTCTGGCTCTGCTGAGAGACAGAGAGTGGGTGGGTGGAGGGGCACAGCACCCAGCCCGGAGGGGATGCCCATGTGGGGGTGTTGAGCCTACGGGGGAGGGGAACAGGGTCAGAGGGCAAAGGGGGGGCCTGGACGGGACATATCAGAGGGAGCCATCTGGTCCTCAGGGCAAGGAGGAGGGAGGAAAAGGAGCCCAGTCACTCAGGTCCTTGGGCCCTGTTGTCCCTCTGAAGTAGGGGACAGGCCACCTCTGAGAGAGAGAGGGAGGGGGCCGGGGGGGCAGGGGGAGAGACGTGGGGTGGGGGGAGGGCGCCAGGGTGCGGCGGGCAGGCCCCGTGCCCGCTGAGAGCCGCTGCTCCCCCAGGCCTGTTCTCCACCATCATGCGCGACCTGGTCAACATCACTCACGACGGCCCCAAGTGGATCGTCCTCGATGGGGACATAGACCCCATGTGGATCGAGTCCCTCAACACCGTCATGGACGACAACAAGGTGCGGCCACGGGAAGGAGGGGCGGGGGCTCGTGGGGGCACACACCCTCAGATCCTCGGAGGCTGGCACTCCCCACGAGGAAGTTCCTTGTCCCGAGACGTTTCCACGTCGGCTGTGCGTCTGCCCTCGCTGCGTCCCACGTCGTCCCTGGCAGCTGGTGGGTCCAGGGTAGAGACCTGGGACGTGTTCTCCAATTGACACGTAGCACGATGTGGGAACCACGGGTCATGTTTAGGAGGCAGCAAAGATATTCAGAATTATCTAGAAGCAGCTTTAAAAAATGACAGTCGGGTGGAGGAGGGACTGCAAGACTTTCCGGGGAAGGCGAGGGTTTGGAAACGCAAGTTAACCCTGCAGTGCGTCCTGCCTGGCGTGCGAGTGTAGAAGCCGCCCACGCCGTCCCCGGGCAGGGCAAAGCTGGGGGCTGGCGTCAAGGAAGCTGAGAAACACCGGGCTCGGAAAGGCTGGTTGTCGCTGGGGGATGACAGCTCCCTCCTTCCTGCTCAGAGATTTGCTCCAAGCGGCAACCTTGGAACCCCATCAGGGTGATGTGGACCCCACGGCTCGCTGTCTCCCTCCTAGGTCCTCACCCTGGCCAGCAACGAGCGAATCCCCTTGAACCGCACCATGAGGCTGGTGTTTGAGATCAGCCACCTGAGGACGGCCACCCCGGCCACCGTCTCCAGGGCCGGCATACTCTACGTCAACCCGGCGGACCTTGGATGGAACCCGTGAGTTGGGTTTTGGTTTTCCTGTTCCACACCTTGTCGGAGAAAGGCGAGGTTGGGGGCCTATTTCAGGGTTGCACACGAAATTATTCATTCATTCACATACTAAATGCCACGTGCTGGGCCTCGCCAGGCACCAGGGTGACAGCTGAGGAAGCGAGAGCCGTGTGAGTGAATGGCGTGTGTGCGCGGCAGCTCCACGGAACCGCCGCTGGGGAGACAAGTTTGCACGAAGTGCCGGGAATGGCAAGGGCTGGCGACGGAGGGTGGGTCCCGGCCCCCATGGAGGCAGGGAGTCTCCCCAGAGGGTTGAAGTCTGGGCTGCCACCCGACAGGGGGCTTTCTAGGTGGACAAGAGCTGGGGCAGCATTCCAGGCGAGAACCCGCACTGATGGGGCGTCAGCAGCGGGCGACAGGTTCCGGGACGCGCGGTGGTGGGGTGTTCCTGGGAGGAGCGTGGAGGGTGAGGGTGTTCTTGGCCAGAAGGGGACTGAAACTGTGTCACCCCACAGGACAAGGCACAGGGGGTGTGATTTGAACAGGACAGTCGGTCAAGCCGGGGGCCAATGGGTGCCACTGGGCTTGGGAGAGGAAGGGCTGGGCTTAAGAATTGCTCAGAAGCTTGAGAAATTGAAGTCTCGATTCTGGAGGCAGATTTTCCTGCTTGGACACACAGCTAGTAATGGACAGAATAAGGGATTTTCTGGGGACGCGGAAATAAATGACAGCTTGGAGCAAACGTCCTGCATCAGCCCGAGTGGAAATCCCAGAGGGCAGGCTCGGGAGAACCGTTGTGGCTGGAGGTGGCGGCTGATTCATTCATCCCTCCAAGCAGCACGTCCCGCGCACCTGCTGTGTGTCCAGCCCCACGGTACCCCATGCTGGAGAGGGACGGGGAAGTGGGCTTTCTGAGAAAGACCAGAGCTATGTTGGGAGACGGGGAACGCAGGGAGGCTTCCGAGGCCCAAAGGCAGAGAGGAAGCCCCGGAGATGCCATCCCAGACACCAGGAGGGGAACTTGAGGAAGGAGGAGGCTCGACAGGATCCCATCCAGAGTCAAGGACGCCAAGGGCAGAGACGTTTCAGCTGGACGTGGCAGCTGGGAGCTCCTCAATCACTCAAGAAGAAAGCTGCATGGCACGATGCGGGTAGCAGGAGCCAGATGCCCGTCAGTGAGGAGGAGCCAGCCAGAGGTGCTACCACGAGGCTGTCTCTGGAAGCGAGTCCTGCAATTGAGCACTGGAGGGTGGACCTGGAGCAAGAGGAATGAAGGTTTGTCAAGATGAAAATGGTGACTGGGCGTGGGGATCAAGCGTGGCTGTTTCCAGGTGCACACAAGCTTGTGGACACAGAAAAAGAAGTTTCCAGAGTTCCAGATGTGCGTCTTTGCTCTCTGCACCAGGAGGTGAGGTGTCTGCTGGGAGGCAGGCGGCATGGCGTGGCCAGGGTTTGAGAGGATTCCGCGAGGAATGTTCCCTGCAAGGACAGGACTGGAGCTGGCCAGCGCTGGGGGCCGCTGAGACCCGGCTCTGCCGTGCTGCTTCTCCAGCGGTCCTTGCCTGCTGACACGAGCGTCCCGAGGCTGCCGTAGCAAAGGCGCAGCCTGAGTTTATCCTCTCACAGTTCTGGAGGCCAGAGGTCCAAGATCAAGGCGTCAGCAGGGCTGGTTCCCTCTGGACTCTCCGAGGGAGACTCTGGGCCAGGCCTCTGTCTTTCCATCTTCCGGCGGCTCCAGCAATCCCTGGCGTTCCTTGTCCTGTAGATGCATCGCTCCCATCTCTGCCTCGTCTGCACGTGGCCGCTTTCTGTCTGTGTCTGTCCGCATTTTCCTCTTCTCGTAAGGACGCTGGTCACTGGCCTTGGGGCCCACCCTAACCCAGGATGATCTCATCCTGAGATCCCGAACATGGTCGTGTCTGCAAAGGCCCTTTCTTCAAATAAGGTTCCAGGTAGACATGTCTTTTGTGGGGCCACCAGTCTGCCCACGACACCGCATTGGTGAGTTCTCAGTGTGGGCAAAAGACAGGGCAAGGGAATGGAAACGGAGCGTGTGCGGGAGCTGCTGAGACGCAGGGAGACGGGAAGAAGACAGGACGTGGGGCGCTCGGCGGGGACACCCTCTGGAGCAGGAGAAGGGAGCTGCAAGCGAGGCCGGCGTGGGCAGAGACGGGAACTGGTGCTCCCAGAGGAGTGACCTGCAGGAAGCAGGAGGAGCCCCAGGTTTTGCTGGAGGAGAGGAGTGGACAAAAGCAGGGCAGCAGGGACTCAAGGCTGGACGCGCCCCACTGCCTCTGGGGCAGGGCAGGACAGGACGCCGCCCGGACCGGGGGCGGGAAAGCTGACCTGCCTCACGGGAACGTGCCTCTCTGGGCTGGTGCCGCAGAGCAAAGCCAGCGTGCACGTGAGCGTGCACTAAAGGACTCCCACCAAGGCAACACTGGAAGTTTGACCCAAACCAAACTCGTAGGCGAAAGCAGCAGCCTCTGTGTGGCTGTGCAAACCGTCCCCTCTTCGAAGACCAGCTGCACCTGGAACTCAGTTCCAACAGTGCTGGGCACGCGGACACCACGCTTTGCTCGGAGACACGGGTTGCGTGAAGGTTTGCTCTGCCACGCTGGCAGCCTGGGTCCCACGGGCACAGGTTCTCGCTCTCAAGTCTCCGTTCTGAGAGAGGTGCAGGGAGGAACGCAGCTCGCAGGACATGCGCGCGCTCAGGGAGAGGCCGTGTGTCGGCCGCGTTTGGTAACGTGAGCTTCCTGCTGACGCCTGGGGCGTCCTGGAAATGACGCACACACCGAGCTCGCTGACCCTCCAGGGAGCCCGACTCTATTTATGCTTTTAGTAGGCACTTACCCTGGACCGGGCTTCCTTCTGGGAGCTTTAAACATACCAGCCCGTGCAGCCCTTTGAAACAGGGGTGACGTAAACACCACCCCGTCTACCGACGAGAAACCTGGGACTCAGACTCCAGAGTCCACGTCCCTCACTGTTGTGGCCGGCCACCTCTGCACAACCCCCCAGAGGCAGCCGTGTGCCAGACAGTCCAACGCGGCTCCTCGAGGACTGCTTGTTGTATTGGTTTGGACTCTTCCACGGAACGTGACAAATCCGACTCTAGCTAAAGCTATAAAAAAGTTCCATTGTCTCAAGTCACCAAGGGGGTGCGTCAGACACAGCTGGATCCCGGAGTCCAGAGGATGTGATGAAATGTCCCTGTTCCTGGTCTGGTCTCTCCATTCTCCGTCCTTCCCATCCTCACCCCTTCCCATCCTCACCCCTTCCCACTCCTGATGGTGTCGTGAGATCTTTCTCCTCTCCTGTTGCCCTCCTGTCCCCCAGCTCCCAGTATTGTCTTCACTAGGGTGCAAATGCGTCCCAGATGGTAGCACAGTGGCTCCCAGCACACCCACGGCTGGCAGTCCCAGAGAAAGAGCACACGTGCCCCCCGCCCACCCCAGCATCCTCATCAGACACTCTTGGGGCTGCAGCTGGCCCCGCCGTACCCTCAGACCCAGGGCCCCGCAGGAGTAGGAACCTGAGTCACGGCCCTGCCCCTGCGGCTGCCCCACCAGAACCACGTGGAGCGGGTAGGGGGCTCTTACCAAGGGAGGGGCACCTGGCAGCCCAAAGCGGGAGCTTCCGTCACTGGCGCCTCCTGTCCCCCCCAGCGTGGTGAGCAGCTGGATCGAGAGGCGCAAGGTGCAGTCCGAAAAGGCCAACCTGATGATCCTGTTCGACAAGTACCTGCCCACCTGCCTGGACAAGCTGCGCTTCGGGTTCAAGAAGATCACGCCGGTGCCCGAGATCACGGTCATTCAGACGACCCTGTACCTGCTGGAGTGCCTGCTCACCGAGCGCAACGTGCCGCCCGACTCCCCCAAGGAGCTGTACGAGCTCTACTTCGTGTTCGCCTGCTTCTGGGCCTTCGGCGGGGCCATGTTCCAGGACCAGGTGACGGCGCGGTGGGGCCTGGCGCCCGCGCGAGGTCTCTCGGCCTCCCTCCTAGCTGGCCCTGCTTTTTGTTTCTGTTCTTCAACAGCTCGTCGATTATCGCGTCGAGTTCAGCAAGTGGTGGATCAACGAGTTCAAAACCATCAAGTTCCCCTCGCAGGGAACGGTTTTCGATTACTACATCGACCCCGACACGAAGAAGTTCCTGCCCTGGACAGACAAAGTGCCTGCCTTCGAGCTGGACCCGGATGTCCCGCTGCAGGTAACTCCCCCGAGGTGGTGGCCACTGACTGGTGACTTAGGAGCAGGACCCGGGGTCCCACCCGCCACACGCCGGGCGGGATGTCCGCACGCGAACGGTCTGCGACGGCGGGACCTTTTCAGCAAAGCGCGGGACTCAAACTGCTAAGGTCTCACGCCAGCCGTGGGCGAGGGACCGGCTGAGGGTCACAGCTCCTCTGTCCCCTCCCCCGCCCAGGCCTCTTTGGTCCATACCACGGAAACCACCCGCATCCGCTACTTCATGGACTTGCTCATGGAGAAGTCCTGGCCGGTGATGCTGGTGGGGAACGCGGGGACGGGCAAGTCGGTGCTGATGGGGGACAAGCTGGAGAGCCTGAGCGCCGACGAGTACGTGGTGCAGGCCGTGCCCTTCAACTTCTACACGACCTCGGCCATGCTGCAGGGTGAGGCCCCGCCCTCCTTCCCGCACAGTGGGGGCGTCTGAGCCACAGCCAGGACCCCTCTTTCAGGGGGGCGTTGATGATGGTGGCGTTGGCGGCCTGTCGAGGGGGCAGGGACCACGGGGAGCGTCTCAACCATCTGAGGGGCCCGAAGGCTGACAGGCTGCAGGGTTCCTGCGCCCTGGCCGGCTCCCACGCCTTTCCTCCCGGCGGGCTCAGGACGGCAGGGTGAGGCTGCCCCCCTGCCCCTCCAGGTGTGCTGGAGAAGCCGCTGGAGAAGAAATCGGGGAGGAACTA